GAAACGGGGGTACAAAATGTGGAATTGCTCAGTCTCTTTTCACGGAATAAACGTAATTCATCAAGGACATCCATTATCAGACTATTGCGCATTTGACAAAACTATACTTTAATTTTTAGCTCATAACGTGAAGCCAGGAAAAATCGCAGAAACTACACGACCAACGCGTGAATTCTTACTGCGCCATGTTTGTCTTGACCTGTCGACAAACTTATATTTCGCTTTGTATCGTAAAATGCGCGTGTAGTTCCCTAATTTCTGAAAGACATTCATTAGTACACTGTAGTAAATCGTATAAAGCACAGAGCAGCAGTATTGAGAAAGTACAAAGAAGGGCTTTGAGAATAATTTATTCCGAAAAAGATTACGAAAAGTTATTGTTGAAAGCTGGAATGCATACGCTTGAACAACGTCGCAATACTATGTGCATTGATCTTATCAGTAAAATGTCTGACCCGCATCACAAACTGCACCATCTTCTTCCTAATAAACTTTGCAAGGTACGGCAAAGGGTTACACGTCAGAATGAATGGTCAATTGTTTTACAATTACCACTACAGAACAGAACGTTTTCGGAACAGTCCAATCGTTTCGTCAATTGAACTCTATAATAACTCTATTTTATAATATAATATATAATATAACTTTATATATTTTTATCGAAACATTTTTAACACGTAGTGATAGTTTTTGGATCAGTCCATTTGTTTCGCCAATTGAACCTTTGTTAATAACTCTCTCTTTTTAATATAACTATCTCTATTGAAATTTTTATAATACCTAATTTAGATAATTTAGTAATTAATGTATATTTTCTATATATATGTAATGCGCGTTCTAATTTAGTTACTTATTGTAGCTATTCAATGTGTAATCTTTCTATAATAATAATAAAAAAAAAAAAAGATGTGATGTTCCCAATGCATGTTGATAAAAATGTAGTACAACAAAGGCTGTTCAACTGTATAGAATGGTGGATAAGCCAACATTAGAACAATCTGACTTTCATAATATCTAATTTATTTTTTCAATATAAAGTGAACTTAAATTTCCAATATCTACAGCCTTGAATCAGAGCACAATTTAAAGGTGTTTCATGAAGTCTCAAATGAACTCAGGCATGAATATGGGGGTGATGATAAATTTTCATGGACTCTGTTGAATTTAAAAGGTATTTGTATGTTCTCTAACTGACTATCACTATTTTTATTTATTTATTCATGTTTACCACTCTATGATGGATGGAAGGCTTTTACGGTACATGTTTTACTTACAACCCAATTACAAAGGTTCCTGAGGCTTAGTTCCAAATGCATACAGTAAGTTAGCTCTTAGTGAGGGAGGAAACCCAGAGTACCTCAAAACACAGGAGAGAACCAGCCAAACTCTACTTACTGGTACATGAGTTGATAAAGCCCACTGATCAAAGCATCCAGAGGTAGCTACATTTTCATGCTAACTTAGCAGGCTTAACTTAGTGGTAAGAGACAGTACCTTAGCACGATCAGCCACCTGTGCTTCCCCATAGGGCCTAAAAAAATGCCTATTTTTTCTGCCGAACCTGATATTTTTTCAACGCGATTAACTGTGTGACCCTATTTTCTCTGGGTGGTTGTGGGCGGCTCATACAGCGTGCCAAAATGGCATCTGTTGTCACACTAATTATTGAACCAAATTGCCTAAATTCGTCCATAGGAAATAAGCATCTGTAGTTAATATTGATGTTGCGACTCTACTGCAAGTCGCCCAGCAAAAAAAAAATGCCAAAACCATGAAAAATATATATTTAAAAAAATTATGTTACTGTAGTGGTTTCCATGCAGTATGTTATTACAAATCATTATTAATACCTATAGGCCATACAAGTTAAGCTACAACATTACAAACCAATAAGGCATAACTATACCGGTATTGCACAAAATACCTTATATTACAGTAATGGTGATTTGTACTGCACTTGCATTGTTTTGGCATTTTGTTGCGCTGTGTGAAAAGGTTTGCACAACGGTGCCATACTTATACAGTACATGTGTCGTTGAATCCGTATTTGTATGAAATGCTACAACACTAGCTACTAACCATCATTATATATAAAGGTGCAGACATTTTTATACAGCGGCATACAAAATGCTACATGACCATAGTCCATAGTGTACCTTATACTTAACAATTTATAGATGAGGCTGAGTTATCTATGAGTGAATAGGGCGAAGCAAAAAACTATATACTGTAGAATTTTTAAGAAATTGATTTTTTGAATCGAAAATTATATTTAAATGCATCTTAATAAAGTTCTTATAAAGTTTTTTTTCTCTAAATGTGGCTTTTCATACTTCAAAATAGCCTTCTCTACTAGTAGTCCTATCAATAGCTAGACCGTAAAATTAAAATTCTACATTTAGGTCCAACTAAAAAGGGCACAAAATGGAACAAATGCTGTACATTTGGCTACATGTAGAAGGCAAGCTAGAAAAAGAGATGAGCACTATATTGCTATTTGCCTTCATAGCTGATTGCAAGACAGACAAATTAGACAGTGTAACATCCCTGATCATGCAAGGGCTAAATTCTTTAATTTTAGAAATGAAGCCATTGGGAGACAAGTTGCATAGTGTGACAGCGCCTTTATATATTTCCCTCTTAAACGTTGCCAAAGCAGTAATGGCTACGGATACGAAGACGAGAGATTGTCTCACTATTTTATATTCGATTTTAAGTCGCTGTTGTACAGATTTTTAGACTTTTTTGTGTTTTATTAAAAGTCAACAGTCATACATAAGACATACTATACTGCAAATCATTTGAAAATTGTAAAAAATCGGTTTCTAGGAAGAAAATAGTCATCACAATTAACTTCATATTCTGGCTGGCTTTAATATTTTCTCTTCAGATGGCACTTCAGCTTTGAACATGTAACACAGATTTGTTTGATTAACATCACTGATTTGGAAATACGACGAGCATCTGCCATAAATATGCTGACTTTTTGCTATGAGAACATCACGTCTCAACCTATTAATTTCAATCAACTAATTGATTTAAATAAATAAAATTAGTGACATCTACCGCTTTTGTGGGCGATTATCAACAACAATCTTCCTAACTGCTTTGTACTGCTGTTCTTTCAACTTTAATAATGTCTTTTCTCCCAATTTTCAAAGGGAAACCAACGCTTCGTGGAGCGCTTGTGTATTTTTATTCATATTTACTATAATAAACCATATATTTCGTTGTGGCCAATCAGAAGCCAGTTTGATATGGATTTGGCCAGAGCCCCTCGTCGGGCTCGGTCGAACGCGCGTAAGAAGGGCTCTGGGTACGAGAATGGGGAAAGGTGTATTAAATGCTCGCCGTATGATAAAATGAACAGGATTTTTTTTAAAGACTACATCAGGCGTAAATTTCACACATTTAAATCAGCTCGGAAATTGCATTCTAAACTGTGGATTCAAGATGGAGATCCTAGTCAAAAGAGTTTTGCAGCCAAACTCGCCTTGGGGGAATGCGGGGCAGACTTGCTATCCATACCGCCTAGAAGTCTGGATATAAATCCGATCGAGAACCTATTTCATCTCATAAGAATGGAGCTGGACAGACAAGCAATCAGCAGAACTATAGAACGCGAGGCATACGAGGAATTTTCAACAAGAGTTTGCAATACTTTTAAATCGTTTCCTAGCACATGTATTGATAATATTATACAATCGATGGACAAACGAATGACCATGATTATAAGTAGAAAGGGACAAAGAATCAAATATTAGTTTCATAATTCAATTTATTCTAAAACTAAACTATATAATGTGTAGCTATGTACATGTAAAAAATACGCATCATTGAATTGAAGTAAACACAACATTTGTCAATTGAGCCTGATTATTGAATCAGTGTACCATTTCCCAGAGTAAAGAAATAGTAATAATAGTCCCATGTTTCTGAAATAATATTACCAAATTACATGCAGTTAAGAGTATACATAATGCTTAGAATTTTTTGCCTATCTATACCCGGTGTACCATTTGAGACATAAAAAGTATATTATATATATATATATATATTCTTAAATGTACACAATGTACCATGGTACACCGTGGATTGCGCATGCGTCATTTTGCATGCATATAATGATGGTAATATAAGAAGCCTATTTGACAGTCAGCTAATTGAAAAAATACGTGTCTAATAAACGCATTGTTTTTGTAAGTGTTTCCCATGTCCACGTTATGTCACATATGCTGTTCTGATTAACTTACAATTATTCTATTATATTACGTACATTACACACTAAAGAAGCAAAACAATGAGGGCATGGTTTTATTTCTGTTTGCCGTTCCCATGGTATTTTGCTTGTGGAGTGTGAATATATTCCAATGAACTGTCATCATTTCAGTGTCACGCTCATCAACTATCCCACCTCTGACGTAGGACAATCTATTTTTGCTTGTCGCAATACTGGCGTGTCTACATCTAACAAAATATCTTTGGCGAAGTGGGTTTTAGGTGCGGGAAAGTGTACAGGTTCGCCTTCAAGCAATAAAAGTAGGTCATGCCAAGGGATTATTCTGTCATTCCAGCGAAAGTCGTTGAGAAATATGATTTCAGTGTCTTGAACTCCTACCCAGGCAAAGGTACCAGAAGCAGGATTAGTGAACGTGTGATATATCGCACTTAAGGGTTTTAGTAAAAACGTTTTAGCGCAATTTGCTGGACCGACAAGCATAATATTTCGATATTTCCCTCGTCCTTTTTGTAGTAGTGCATAGATAGCAAGAGCAAAATCTCTAACTTCCATGCCATTGGTAACCAGGACTTATTTAGCGCAACGTAACCAACGACCTTCACAGCCCTCGACGCATTCACTTCGGACAGCCTCCATAAGCAATTCCATGCATGTCTTATTGGCTCTTTCTAACTTTGCCTGAGAATTAAACATGTCCCACATAGTTTTCAGTATATGCGAAACAGTTTTTGGTTGTTGGTTCATAATAAATTCGGCAAGGTCAGAGTTTCCCCTCATCTTTATGTAGTTGGGCTAAAGCGAGCAGTTCGGTGCGAGTCTTTATGGACTTTGACTGAATAATATCCGCTACTTCCAATGATGTGAGCCACTTTTTACGTTTTCTCGATCTTTGCCCTGTCGCATTATCTCCTTCGCTGTCAGATTCTTCTCTTCCCTTGACTATTGCAGCACTAGCAGAATCAGTCTTCAGTGGTTCACCATTTGTCAAATCTGGATGACCATCACTTCGCGAGTACTCATGATCCGTCTTTGTAACATATTGCCAAGCACTAAAATAGTTGTGATGAACAGATGAAAAATGTACAGAAATATTGTAGTCATCTAACAAGAATTTCTTAATTTTAAGCCATCATTGTTTTTTTTAAGCTTGATAGCAAAGCGATAATGCTTGCCACCATCCTCGTGGTCTTCCAAACAACAGCACCATTGTATAACACTATTATCCTTGCTAAAGGCAAGAACTAATGCTTCAGTGAATTCCTCTCGAGAGCTAAATTTTGTCAAGTCTGCTTGACTATAAGTTACAAGATAGACCAATCTATTATTCTCGTGGGCCAATACTACCACTTGCCATTGCAGTATGCGTTGAATTAATTGCTAACGTTTTGAAACAGATATTCATGGGTTCTAAAATTGATAGGTAATTATCACCCACTATAATTAGGGACAATATAAAAAACAACAGGAAACTAAAGCTGGAAAGACCTACTTAACAATTTGATGTGATCATAGTGATAAAGTTGCGCCTAATACTGAGTTTCATTAGATTGTAATGTGTTTTTCATTTTCCATGAAAAGAGACAATCCTGGACAAAACCATCTGCGACATTCCAGTAAAATCCTGCTCGTGAACGTTAATCTCTACAACAACTGCAATATTTCTCAATGTGTAAGGCCGCCATCCCCCTCCCCACCACCCCCAGAACAATGTTGAACATATTACCATTACTTTACATATGTTGTGGGTCAGCAATCAACATTGAATGGTGGGGGAAGGGAGGTTTTGCGATGATGGTAGAAAAGTGTGTGAAAAACTGAAAGTGTCGCAGATGTTTTGTCCAGGGTTGTAGGTTATCTTCTGTCTATCTACTGTTTCCCTGTGTTATGTGTAAACTCAAGACCCAATTCACACTAATGTGCTCTATTTCAAAGCTCAATATCTTGCCCTGTCTAACATCAGACTATTTTGCATGTTAACACACATTTAGATGCAATTCACCCTAACACTCAATCCCCACAAGTTTCAGTACTTTGATATTTAATTATCAGATGATTTTACTCATCAGGATGAGTGTTGGTCAGGCCAAAAAAAAATGTGGGTTTCCGGTTTCCCGACCCTACCTAGCTTTTGGATGCTGAAAATAAATCATCACCCTAAACTTTATTGGATCATGCTTGTAAGTGTTTCCACTTAGAGGAAAATGTTTGTGGAAAATGGAAATTTGAGGCAATTTTAGGGAAACATATTTTTGGATGAACCCTTTTATTTGTCTAACGCCAGACTATTTTACGATGAAATCTATCATTATAGCTCAAAAGAGCATCCTAAAATTAGTAAAATTGCAAAGTTTGGTTGCAAAATGTTGTAAAATATGGAAAATATAGCCCTGTGAAATTATGCAATACTGAAAATTCGCTCATTTCACATGGCTATATTTTCCGTATTTTACAACATTTTGCAACCAAACTTTGCAATTTTAGGATGCTGTTTTAAGCTATATGTTATATTTCGTCTTTCTTGCCTGGATAAAAAATTAGTCGATAGCTGGAATTGTCTATTCTTATAGGAATATTTCCTATTAAATTTCTATAGGAATTCCTGTTGGAGAAATTCCTACAGAAATTTTTCCTATAGGAATTCCTATAGGAAATATTCCTATAGGAGAAATTCCTATAAGAATTTCGGACAAACTTCCTATAGAAATTTTTCCTATAGGAATTTCTATAGCAAGTTTGTTTAGAAAGAAATTCTTATAGGAATTTTTCCTATAGGAGTTCCTATAGGACATTTTCATAAGGGAACCTAATTAAATAATTAAATCATACTAACATTGTCATCTAATCTTGTCTCATTCAAAGCAAGTATATCGAGACATTGATCAGCCAATAAGATTCTTATTTCTTCAATATGCTTAGGTAAACTAGCTATATTAAGCATACTCATTTTAAAACCTTTAACATTAGGAAAGTCTGGATTTAATGGTGCACACTTATCAACACCTGGCCTAGCTGGCTGTATTTCAATTACGATTATTAAAATAATTCTTACTAATAATGATGCTACCCTTTTTATTTAAGTGTAGCCTATGCCTGTTTGGACAACTATAATCTATTTTTCTGTTAAGAAACAGAAAACATTTTCTGTGTTTCTATAGAGTTATAGAAACATGTGTGAAAGTTTGGGAGAAACGAGAAATTGTGTGGCAACGTGAGCACAAAGTGCAAGTGTTTCCACGCAATTTCGAGTTTCTCCCAAACTTTCACAAGTGTGTTTCTATTAACTCTATAGGAATTCTATTTCTTTTATTAAATAGCCTTTTAAAAACAATAGAAAAGATAAATTTATTGATTTTAATTGCTTTCATTCAAATATTAATTCCACCTTAATATACGTTCGTGTAAAGAATAATTATAAAAGCATGGCGAAGTAAACAAGTATATTGCTGTCAAAACAACAGACAACACTTAACAGGCTTACTTTACTAAGTATATAATTCACTCGACAACGTACATGCTTGCATGCAAAGAAAGCACTGTTTTAAATAGTTAGTGAACATTTAAACATGATTAAAAACTATACTATAGTAAACATGATTAAAAACATCGCGAGGAAATATTTATTTAAAAAGACAAAGTAAAATTTAAATATCTTACCTTGGCAAACAGTCAAACAGATACAACGTGTACTATAATTATACTTTGTGCTTTAGGTCTTCGCTTTCTAAGTTAGCTGTGTTGCCTTTTTTTGTAACAGTTCTTCTGCGTTTCGGGACGTTTTTCAAAATTAAATAGTGTTTGTATTTTGTCTTTTAAACTCCCACACAATCTACGCAACACGCATGAAAATTCCCCGTGTTTCTATCGAGTTATAGAAACACTGGTTTTTTGAGCTTTTCACCAATACAATCGAGTCGGACAAACAATAAACCTCCGTTTCACTTAGGTCGGACAGAATGTCCGGTGGTTTCCTCACTACGTCGGACAATTTCACGAATGGGTCGGACAATGTCTGTGACTGACCAATATTTTAAGGCCTGTCAGTTCGGATGCGACGGCCACCTAACATGCTAAATGATGATGTAAAGTGTAATCCGACAGAGTTTCCGCCTTACTTGTCAAGTGTACAGACGGTAAGTGAAGGATTGTTCCCTCCACAAGAGATGTTTTGTTCCCTTTTCCTCCATATCCTAAGGGCATGCCTACGTTTTCCCCTCAACCTTCTCCCAATCATTTTTACCCTCAACGTTTTCCCAATAATTACCTACCCTTTCCACAACAGATTCCCCAGATTCCTACTCCACCTTTGTACTGGCAACCACCCGTCTACTACAGCGGTCCAACCTGTGCATATGCATAATAGATAATAATGCATAATGTGCATAACAGGTTTTATCTTTTGACCAATCAGCACTGTTGTTTCTTACAAAATATGTGTTTACTTTCCCGCTCTGGCTCTCTTAAAGGACAATGGCAACGAAAATTTTTATTGGCTATTTCAATCCTACTTGACAACCGAACTATGAAAATATTATCATTTCCTTCTCGAACATTTTAGTCTACGAGTAAAATGCATGCAAACTTTGTGTTTCGAAGGTCAATGAACTTTGTGACGTCAGTGGCTGGGTAGCACCAAAACTACAAGAGAGAATTCTATTGCGTGCATGTTATGTTAGCTAAAAATATGTCGTTTTGAGCGTTATTACTGGCCAACACTCTTCGCAATCAAACAAGAGAAGTCTACACTATCAGATAAAAACATATCGAGCGACTGGGAAAGCAAGAAATGGCTCAATTTACAATACAGGTAATTGATCATAAAATATTGCATTAGTATTTGCCTTGTTACACTCGAATTTCTGTGCTTATTTAACACGGGGTAGGATATATACTATGAGAAATAGCGTTACAAACAAGTTACATACTTGGTAAAACTTTTCTGCCTTTTGTTTTGGCTCAAAATGCACTACGCGTGGTAATACACGGTATTGTTTATAGTCATAAGATTGTGTTTACCCAGCCAATGCCGTCAGATAATGTATTTTGTGGCATAAATTAGCATACCTGCTTATTTTCAAAATGGCGGACAACTGTTCAAATTTTCTCAAATTCAATCAAATTTTCTCAGCAACTAAACACGACAAACCGGCCAAAATATGAAATTAAATATTCTGTAAGTACACCTAATAGATATAAGTAACAAAAATTTTGGTTGCCAATGTCCTTTAACTAATGCCTCCCACAAGGCTTACCGGAAGTGACGTAACACTTCATCACCCCCTTTTTCTAACAGAACAAAGGAATGTCAAATGTTTCAAACTGTCAATGCAAATGTCAAAATAAAATACTCTATGAAGTTATTGTTTGAGTGTTTTTTTTACAACCCCGAGTTTATTGGGTGTCCATAAAAGTTTGTCTCCCCTGTGTTTTGTGTAGATCTTCTAGGCGCTTGTTGGTATTGTTCCTGTAGCTGATCTCCTTCTTCTTCTTGTCTTCTGCTAACAACATCCTCATCACCCTCTTCTCGACTAACTGCTTGTTCCACTATGTTCTTGAAGAACGATACATTTTGCGTGATGAAGTGTTGGTTTCTCACAACTACTTTTGACTCTTTTATGGCAACGATAGTATACGGCGTAGGACTGAAATTGGTTGACAATTTATTCGGGTTTTTTCCCTCACCAGAACACGATCTCCAACTCGTAGTTTACTTGTTCGTGTATGCCGTCAAGAGTCTGCATATCGTTTTCCCCTTTGCTTTTGTTCTTTGTCATTTTGTTTGGCTTCTCTATGTCAGTTAATGACTTTACTGTTGTGGGGAAGTGTGGACAATTTTCCGCAAATTTCTTGGTTATATAGCAACTGAGCAGGTGGTACCTTTGTGGTCGAATGGGGGGTAGACCGATATGTATCATGTATCTGTTGAATTCATGTCCTTGGAAAGGTGGCCCATTGTCTGAAACAACCTGCGAAGGGGCACCATGCCGGGCAAAACTGCATCGATTTTCGGGATTACAGTCTTGGCAGAGATCGAAGACAACACTTCTACTTCCGGAAATCGAGAATAGCAATTGAGGATCACCAAAATATACTGTCCAGTCGGTAATGGGCCATAGAAATCAATCTCGAGTTTGTCCCATACTTTGTTAGGTAGCAGGGTGGACCGAAGGGGTTCTGGTTGACTTGGTTGCCCAGTGGCTTGACAAGCGAGGCACTTTTCAAGTTTTGCACAAACTTTTTTGTCCATTTCTGGGAACCAAACGTGTTCCCGTATCAACGCCTTTGTTCTGGCCTGCCCTTGGTGCCCTTCATGGGCCAGCTGTATGACACGTTGAACCAATGATGAAGGGATTACAAGTCTGGTGCCCCGAAGCACCACATTGTTGGTGTAGTCAATAGATAGTTCATCTTTGATGGGCTTGAACTGTTTCAGTTCACTACTGGACCACTGTCCCGTCTGGATTGCTGTACGTACCAAACCAAGTAATGTATCTTTGCTGGTTGCTTTGCGAACATTGTCCACTGTAAGTGTGGGGAGGATTGCTGTGTGTGTTACAAAATGTACGTACTTGTCTGCAATGTTCGTTTGTTTTTGTTTACTATCAGGGGGATGACGAGACGGGTAGTCTGCCGTATTTGTACTGCCTGATTTATAAACAACCCGGAATTTATATTGCTGGAGGTGCAGGAACCAACGCTCTATTCGGGCTGGTGGTTTTGAAATTGGGTTCCCAAAGATGACTTTGAGGGCTTTGTGGTCGGTATACAGAGTGAAGGTTGCACCATACAGATACAAATGGAAATACTCAATACCCCACACCACAGCCAGTGCCTCCTTTTCAGTTTGCGAATAGCATCGCTTGGTAGAGGTAAGAGCACGACTAGCATAAGCGACTATGTTTGGGGGTGATGAAGGTGAATCACGCTGAGCTAAGATCGCTGACAGCCCCACTGGACTCGCATCCACTGTCACTGCAGTGGCTTTGTTGACATCAAAGTAACTCATCACAGGACTGTTAATAAAGCCTTTCACAGTGTATTATACGCATGGTCCTGTTCCTGAGTCCATATAAAAGGTGTTCCTTTGTGGGTGAGTTCCCACTGGACTCGCATCCACTGTCACTGCAGTGGCTTTGTTGACATCAAAGTAACTCATCACAGGACTGTTAATAAAGCCTTTCACAGTGTATTATACACATGGTCCTGTTCCTGAGTCCATATAAAAGGTGTTCCTTTGTGGGTGAGTTGGTGAGTAATGGTTCCGTGATTGTGGCAAAGTTGGGGATAAATTGTGAGCTGTAATTAGCCATGCAGAGGAGGCTTCTGACCTCGCTCACCGTGGTGGGCAATAGCAGCAGTAGCCAAGGCAGAAACCTTCTTAGGATATGGGCGAACACCGTCCGCTGAAAAGTTAAGTCCAAAATATTCAAGCTTAGGCTGTAGAAACTGACATTTGTCAAAGTTGAGGGTCAAACCATGGGTGTCAATGCAATGTAAACACTCATCCAAGGCTTTGTTATGTGCTTCGTAAGACAATCCAAAAACTAAAATGTCAAAGGCAATGTTGCGGACTCCTGGGATGTCATGCAAAACTTGTTGCAGTGCATGTCGAAAGATTTCTGTGGCCGAATTTGTGCCGTAGTTTAAGCACTTAAAACGAAACAATCCAGTGTGTGATGAATGTTGTGATTTGACGGCTTTGAGGGGCTATCTCAAGTTGGTGATATGCCTGTGTAAGATCTAATTTTGTGAAGAATTTAGCACCATTTAGCTCATGCGAAATGTCATGCACCATTGGTAAGGGGTGTCAAATTCGTTTAATAGCGGTGTTTGCCGCGCGCATGTCAATATGTAGGTGAATATTGTCGTCTTTTTTGGCACTATGACGATTGGAGATATCCATTCAGTTGCTTCTGTATCTGGTACGTGTTCAATGATGTCCTCATCCCGTAACCGACTTAACTCTGCATCGACTTTAGCTCTCATGTGGAATAGAATGCGACGTTGACGCTGAGTAACTGGTTTTACATCTTTGTCAACAAGCAGTTCGACTGTTTGATGTAGTAATTTCCCGGGGCCACAAAAAAAAACATTTGGATACTTCTGGACAACATGTTGTACTCGATTATCTTTCATTGATGTAAACGTTGGTGGTGTTTGGGATGATTTTGTTATTTGTACCATATTCAAATGCAAGCTGATTAGTCCTAGCTCTTCTGCAGTTGACCCACTCAAAAGACAACCACCGTTTGCTTTTGTAACATAAATGGTTGTCACCGTAATCTTGCACCGTGATTCCACAATGGTGGTAAATTTCCCATTCATTTTAACAGGGACGTTTGAATGAAATGCATAAGCTTTGATGTTTGTTTTGGACAATGTATAATGTCCCAATTGCTCAAAGGTTTGTTGATCTAACTTTACGTAAACTTTACGTTGCGAATGTTAATCTTCAACTTTGTGTAGGGATTTTGGGCCTTTGTATTGTTAACTGAATAACAATAATTGTCTGAGTCACTTGATTCATTGTCATTGTCCGAGACATTAAGTGGCAGAATAGGTTTGTTTTCATAACGTTCTTGCCATCGTCCAAGGTCTTGCCACTGACCTTGTGCCACCGCAGGCGCAGATCGACACACTCTCACAAAATGGTTCAGTTTGGAACATTTTCGGCATTCTTTGCCCTTTGCTGGACATATTCCTGTGTTATGTGGCCATTCAGCACCGCAATTTCTGCAAACCCCTTTTTGAGATGTCTTTCCAGCAGGGGTATTGCGAACAGCATCCACAACAGCGTCATCATTGATACCGGTTTGATTGTTTCTCGTATTTTCCTCGATCTCTGCAGCTTGTTGACGACTTGGTTCACATTGGCGGCCCAAAACTAATAGGTCTTTCAATGTCAACTTGGGATCACGTAAGGCTTGCTTTCGGAGTCGACTGATATTGTCGAAGCAGAAAGATATTGTCTGCCGTGGCTGGGTCTTGAACCCGCGACCTTCGAATTACTAGATCGACGCTCTACCAACTGAGCTACACGGTCAGACGGATTTATATTAAGACTGGAAATTATGAACTATATACTGAATGTCATAAACATACTCGTTTATATTAATTCAGCATCGAACCATACTAGTTCTGCAAGTGTTATGTTAGCCTATATGTTGTAATATGATAATAGTTGTCACCCATTGAACAGTAGCCTACTAGAGATGCAGGGGCTTTTCTCTGATATTAAGTCAGGGAAAAAGTATCATAAACCAACAAGCAGAACCCAAGATAATTAAATATCACTATTTTTTGTATATATTTGTATTCTAAACGATATCTTGTATTCTTTGTTATACAGTATGTCTATAATTTATCTTTTCATATGTATAGCTATATTAGTATACTAATGGGTAATAACAGTGACTTGACTTAGCCTTGGGTTTTGGTAGGCAAATCTTATATATATTCCGACCATACATAAGTAAGTTCTTTAGTAGTATTTGCAAACATGAAATTAACGACTCACTGTTTGATTATTTAGATATCTTCGAGGAGTAGCATATCGTTGGATAGTCAGCTGATATTTGGCATGCTGAGATGGGAGAATAGGCCTTTCCAAGGTTTCTGCCCCCATATTGCAGGGGGTGCAAAAACATTGGGGCGAGCGTGTGGCCACCAATGGTGCCCATACTATTTCCTATTGAGTGAGTGAAAATTACCTTTTGACATTTTGTCCTTTTTCTCAAAAAATTTCGATACAAGCATATCCAATTTTTATTTTTGGATAATCGCTGGTTTTTTTTTATATGTAGCTGAGATTTCTTACTAATCGAAGGACAGGAAGTAATAAAGAACGGCGGTTTTTTTTGCACACCTTGACCGACGTTTGAGCGATGATTCTTGTTATTTCGTTTGTTTGACCGATCTTTGGAAGAATATTTGTCCATTAAGTGTGTGAGTCCTTTGGTGTCCGCCATTATTACTGTTTATATTTGTATATTTGTACAAGAATCGTCAGTCAAACGTCGGTCAAGGTGTGCAACAAAAGCCGCTGTTTTTTATTACTTCCTGTCCTTCGATTAGTAAGAAATCTCAGCCACATATCAGAAAAAAAACAGCGATTATCCAAAAATAAAAATTGGATATACTTGTATAGAATTTTTTTGAGAAAAAGGACAAAATGTCAAAAGGTAATTTTCACTCACTCAATAGGAAATAGTATGGGCGCCATTGGTGGCCGCGCGCTCGCCCCAATGTTTTTCCACCCCCTGCAATATGGCGGCAGAAACCTTGGAAAGGCCTATTGCAGACCACTTCCAGCATGCATAGTAAATGCATAAAAACTGACTGCACTGCTTTATATGGTTACAGAACAGGTGGGAAATTTGTCGTCGCTGACCAACAAATCGCGGGCAGAAACAAAGCTCATTGCATTTACATTCAAAACAAAGCAGAAAGTTAGCAAGAAGCTGTTTTAGCTGACGATTTTTTGCTTTCCATTCAACGATTTACAAATTAACGGTTATTCTTTTAAAAGTCGACTATGAGTTCTTTGGTTTGGGATGATTTGTTTTGTAATCGAGTGATTGGAAGAAGTTAATATGGCGACGTGAACATGGGAGTAAATACCGTATACGTCGATCTGTGGCTTCTTTAAAACCGTAATAAACGAAGAAAGACGATATATGAGAATGAAATGTAAGTTGAAATTAACTTTATATGCCTCAAATTTTCCATCCTATGTTTCTTAATGTAATTTCAGCTGTCTAAGTTCAAAATACAAGCTTGCGAAATTTGACAAATTTTGAAAATATGTAAAAATAGCTTGACTTTGAACTGTATTTTCTCAAAAATAGCCCGTGGCCTCAATTTCAAATATAGATAAATGAAAAGAAAAAACTTTTAGGTGTTTGTAGGTATCAAACATATCGTCAGGAAAATAGGGGCTCACAATGTTTTAGCTGAGTCTTTGAGACCCAGTTGCTTCGCACGTGTTGTTGTCAAATTTTTGCCAAGAATCAAAGGCCGAAATGTGAACTTCCTTCATGAAAACCGCTTCGAGAAGGGTCTAGTTTGAAAATTTAGCTATTAATTTCGATTTCGTGAGCATATTTTGGTTACACGTTAAATATTTTTGTACTCCGATGAGATTCAAAATTTGTTGTATATTCAAGCCCGGCTTTAGTGTAATTTTGGTGATGACCGGAACAGAAATAAAGATATTTTAAAAACTGGCCGTCGCCTCACGATAAAACTTTCTGAAAGTGTTCTCTGTTTCATGTACTTTTATTTGATATCTTAGGTATAAGCGTAAAAATAGGGGCTCATACAGTTTACGAGGTTGTAAAATGCATAACTTGCCTCTATGTTCATGTAAACATTCGAAATTTTTCGACAGCATAGTAGCGACTGTTTCAGATCGAATGCACACGGACAGCCCACCAGAGACAATAGCAGGGTTCTGAAATAGAACGTCTCTAAAAAATTCTGTATGATTAATTTAGATCATGTCCATTTTCAACATAAAACAGTCATTTATTTTGTACAAACATTTGGCAATATTGACACGATTGTGCCTTTTTGTAAACACGCGTTGCGTGTATTCCACGCAATTGTGTTGCTGACTTTGCTCGCGCATGCTCAGACAAATTTCCCACCTGTTTGGTTACAGTAGATATAGTACAGATGCAAACAAGATTGCGTGCGAGTGCTGGTGTGAGTTTCATCACGTCAGTAGACGCGCTAGTATCAGCCTGTCGCGCAAAACCTGCACGCGTTTCTTGCCAAGGTTTTCTAGAGGCTCAAATACTGGTCTATTTCATGTACAAAAACATGCAACTACAAAGAATATAATGAAGTACTGAAGTAGAGCCCATCATTAGAAGCAGCTATATTAAGTAAAGTCCTTTTACCCTATCGTATTTTACCATGCTATATATATATATATATCTACGTTGTAGGTTTCAGACCGCATATTATGTAGATAGGCTTAGGCTATAGCTGATATTAATTATGGCAAACATTGTAGTAACTAGTGTAAGCGTAACATGGAAATTAATACCAAATATCTACATTTACTGACATACTATAGCATGAGTATGGACCATTCCAAAACTAACAAATTTTGAATTATATATATTTGATTATATATATATATATATATTTGATTATATATATGCAAACATTGTAGTAACTAGTGTAAGCGTAACATGGAAATTAATACCAAATATCTACATTTACTGACATACTATAGCATGAGTATGGACCATTCCAAAACTAACAAATTTTGAAAATTATATATATTTGATTATATATATATATATATATTTGATTATATATATATATGCAATTCAAAATTTGTTAGTTTTGGAATGGTCCATACTCATGCTATAGTATGTCAGTAAATGTAGATATTTGGTATTAATTTCCATGTTACGCTTACACTAGTTACTACAATGTTTGCCATAATTAATATCAGCTATAGCCTAAGCCTATCTATATAATATGCGGTCTGAAACCTACAACGTAGATATAGTCTCTTGTCTCATCGAATTTGCATTTTAATTTTCACAGTCATTGGTAATTTTTTTGTCGCTTGTGCGCTCCGCATATAAACATGAAACAAAACTTGGATATCCACTGGGTGAAATACCAATCAGGCCCTTTGCAGTGTTGTGGTGCTTGTAACTAGAAAATGTGATTGACTGACTCCTGCATGATAAGGGCATTTCAATAAAGATTTCAGTGCAATCAATAATCACTCTGGTTTTTGGATAGACTTGTTGAAAGCAGGGGGGGGCATGTTTTCGTCAACAAATATGCGACTGGGCCAAATTGGTAGGGAACGAAGGCGGTCATGTAAATAAATAATCCAGGTTTTAAAAATTCGAGACACATGACTTCCTGAAATGTTAAATCAATGTGCAATATCTTGGATAAGTAACCCCAAATGTAACCTTACCAGAACAAGAAATAATTCTTGTTCTGGTGACAGGGATTGTGGTTTGTCACATTTGTTTCGAAATTCTGAAGTTACAGGGGCAGTATGTGTGCCAAAGTATATAAGATGTTCACAAGCTGGTGAAAGGTAATCGTAAAACGCTTTAAAACATGAATAATTGTGAAAGCCAGTGTAGAACGTAAAGTCACTGTCACTGCTTATAAATCTTTCACTACGAAATAAACCACATTTTAAATTTGAACATCTTTGTCAAATTTTTGCTTGCATAGCTGTTTTCTGAGCCTCAAAGTAGAGTTATTTTATCCTTTCATTGATTGATAGTATCTTCAGTGTTAGTATCTTCCATGTTATTATCATTCTTGGGTATTTCCACAATGGATGGTGTTTCAAGAACAGGCGGAACAACTGTTATTCTTACAGCTGGGCTCTTTCTTGGTTTACTGGTTGTGCAAGTGGTAAAGATTGTTGGAGTAGTGTCATTGCAGGATTTTTTGCCATCCACAAAATACATTGAACATACTCTGTGACTAGGGCCAGGGTCCCTTACACCTTTCCTTTTCAACAATTGTACCCATTTTTTCTTTATTTCAGGATTTTTTGGTATTTCACGAAATGATAACTCCGGATTTTTTCTGGTATTACTCTAACATTGTGGTATATAACAATATCTTTTCCTGCAAGTGACCTCAGTAGTTTCAGCATTGTTTGCCTCATGTGAAGTGCTTGTTTCACAGGGCCGGATTAACCACGTGGCAGATGCGGCATATGCCGCGGGCCTCGCGCTTATGGGGGCCTCACGCTTTACTGTGCCACGCCCATTTGTACGAGAACACGCCCATTTTCTATTGGGACACGCCCATTTTAGGTGCCTCACAAATTTAGATGCCTTGCGAATTTAGGGACCTCGCGCATTTAGGGCCCCTATAGGCTTGGCAGTTGGCTCCAGGAAAATATGCAATACTCGTATGCATGTAATCTACAGTTGCGCTGCTGCATGTTATCTGATCCTGTTTATACTTGTTGACCCAACGACTGGGCCAGGCAGGCCATTGTCTCTTTATAATTGATGCCAATCAATTTAAATATTGAATAGAAGGCGTTGTATTAAGTGTAACAATGTTCGTTGACAACAGCTTTGAAAATTGCAATTGAACATTGACTGATTTAATTCATATCGAACTATCGGAGGAAAATTTTGTTACGTATTAATTATATTACTAGTATAATATTGCCGCATATGAAATTTCAAAGCTTGTCAATGTGCGTGCCATGCATCTAGATATGAACTAACAGAATCTACTATTACCGTCTATGGGACGTTAAAAGTAAACCGCATACGGTATACCTAAACGTTACTATGTTAGTGTGTTACATCTTTTGTGTTAAAACTGCGTCTATGGACTATGATGATATTATGTAAAATGTCATTCATGAAAAGGCAATATGCTCGAATTTACTGCTTGCGTAAACGTGGCTTATGCATCAATTTATATAGGCTTTATAATTATAGCTACTCAACAGAAACAAAACTAAGCACCAATATAATAAAATCTCAATACATTTCCTGCCATGTTAATCGTTAACGTTTTGTTATGTTTGTTGTTGGATACTGAAAATGTATTTGTAAGACCCCATTATATGCAACAAATCGTCGCAATTAATTCAGGGTTGTTCAAGCACCCAAATTAGCAAAATATAAAGGTTTCATTGATTTTTGAAACCAGTTTTAACGTAACGGAAAATTATTCTGAAATCCTGGTGGGGATGGCTTGGCTGCGAAATTGCGGTTATTTGCCGAAATTGAAAACAATTATTTAACAATTTTGCATGTCATTGAATTCGATGGTTTTCATATTGGGGTTTGGGGGCCTCGCGCTGAAAATCTGCCACAGGCCTTGTGCAACGTTAATCCGGCCCTGTTGTTTCACCCTCCATTATATTATTTAAAATGTTTTATTTGCTTAGCCTATGTGAGTTGTTTAATCCTAGTTATTATCTACCTAATTTTAAATTGACTTTCCTATTAATTTAATTAAAATGATCCTATCTAATGTTTATATGCTGGCAAAACATTTATTGATACAAGACTTTGCTAATTTAAATTAATAATTTATATCTAAATATTATTTTATAAATAAAATTGTTTGAAGGATAGAATGGAGGATAAGAACCAAAGCAAACTTCAGCTCGACGACAAAACAACAGCAGAAAAAGATGAAAAACACTTTCAACTTCATATTTTCTTGTTATAGCTAGAACAAACTCATTTAAATTCAGACTCATTTATTTTCGCGCCAAAACATCTTCAAAACATTTTGTCAGGCTATGGCCGGCAATGGCAAATAGAACAAAATTTTGGCTAACATTTGTCATTTTCATGAAGCTAAAAATGGTATTTCTGAAGCTATAGGATTAAAGTAACCTTGAAATCTAATGAGAATAACTATCAATTGAACTTATTTTTCAAAAAAATTTAGCTGAGCACGAGTAGAAAAGCTAACTCACCTGTTTTGGTTGATGTGGTCAAGTTTTCGTGAGTGAATTTAGGGGAGGTGTGGGTACAACTGGTTGTCTTCACAACAAATTTTCTTCGCCACTAATGCGCGGAATTTCTTTAAATTTTCTACATGAGCACTGCCAAACACTCTCGTTATTTTCCACACAAAATTGTTATTGATCAAATAGAGTAAAAAATCAGTTGTTGTTTCCTCCCGAACGAAATGGCTGCTCATGCGACAGCCCTTTCATTCGAAAGCAACCTACAGCCTCCTACCGTCATGCTTAGCGGGCATATCACTATTACGCAAATGGTCAATTGCACAATGAACAATGCTACCTGGTTCTCGCCATTCTTTTTACTATTCGGCCGCCCTCCACGGTTACCAATAGATCTCCTCTTCGGACTACCACAACCACTGGAAACCACACACAGTATGTGAAACGATGCAAGGGAGCAATGAAAGAAGCGAAGGCGATGGAAAACAGCAGAAAGTCTACTGAAATAGGGAAGAAGCACTACGACAAGATTTGTTGTACAGAATTAAAGCCAGGAGACCGAGTCCTGGTATGAAACCTCTCTGAACGTGGTGGGCCTGGGAAACTCCAGTCCCCACTGGAAAGGAGAAATGCCAGTATTCGTGGTTAAACCTGAGGACTTAGCCATGAAAAGAAAAGAACTCTTCATAGAAATCTCCTTCCTTGTGACTTCTTGTCCCAAGATAATTCAATGGATGTTACACCAGCAGTTAAACCTCAACGTTTAAGAAATGAACGGAAGGCTCAAAATAGTGGGGAAGGTACGCAATATGAAGAAACTGAATGTGACAGTGATGATGAAGAATTTTGCGGATTTACTCCTGCTGAAGTGTATGCTGACCAGCCTGCAACAATGGATGCTGGGTTACAGGAACAATTTGATGATAATCACAGTCAAGATACCGATGAACCAATAGAAGAACCAGCAACTCATACAGACACTGCCAAGACTGAAGACCCAACAGACAGGCCTTAAAATATTGTTCACAGGGCCATCTGACAAAATGTCCAATGACTGTGAGTTTGGGTCGGACATATGTATGATGATGTCCGATGACCTTCAGTTCAGTTTTGCTCCGAAATAAGTCTGAATGACACAAATTAATATCAGCACAATGTATTAATTCAGTAACGGTAAATGTTGTGAAAATATTAAATAATTTGTGTCATTCATACTGGTAGCCTGCTTGCCGCCTGGAATTTCCAAGGGGTGATAATTCCAGTCTGCTAAACTGCAGGCATAATCGTGTTCTGTGACGTATGACCACTTCATGCATAATTAAATAAATTTCTGTACATGTTAGCTCAAAATTATTTCCGGTCATAAATATTCATATTCATCTGTGTTCCAGGAAAAACCCAAGTTGTTTGCGTTCTCCATCAAAGCAGAAAATGCTTGACTTTTCATTTGAATGGTGGCTGCAACAATAAGAAAACAGAGAAGTGCTCATGGATTCCTGCAGTTGGGATGGCTGCGTCTGTTCTTCTCCGAAACAGATCTCCCTACATGAATGCAGTGCAGTTAGTGTTGGGTATATTCTTATACCATTCAAACTGGGCAGTAAGTCTATTCACTTTTTTTATTTTCACCTACCATACTGTATACAGATTGTATGTTAGCCAGTGGAAGGGTTAAGCAGTGGCACTGCTAGTTCAATAATTGGGGGGGGGGGCAAATATTCATGTTCACAGACTATGAAAACAATCAATTTCAAAAGAAATTAATCATGCAGAGCATGAAGATATGAATATTCTCCCCCCCCCCAATTATCGAGCTGGTGGTGCCACTGAAGGGAAGGCACGGACATTGAGATTTTACTCTTGTGACTTGATTTTGGTGGTATTTTGACAAGGTACCATGTTGCAATGTGGCCAACAGTACACAGCCTAGTACGTTTCTAGTAATTGTTCTGTATTTAGTATATTTTCTTTTTTAAAGCCTGCTATGTCCAGATTTGCCCCATTACTATTGGTGACTTCACCAACACACCTTTACAAGAAATTGGAAGAATTTGGAAAGGGCTATGATAAAGCAGCGAAAGAAATGGTCCAAACTGATCGCAAATGGTTTGCAGAGGTGATTAATAAGGAGCAAGGTTCTTCGCAAGAGGAAGTTTCAACAAGTACTACTCCTAAGCCATCCCTGCGATTCAAGCTTACTATTGATGTTGATTACGATCAGAACGTGCACTACACGACAGAAGAAAATCAAAACGTTGATAAACATTATGTCACAGTAAATGCAACAACTAATCGAGTTTCAGGAAATCACTTAAGTACAATGCCTCCATTGGATGGTATTCTTAAGGTGGAAAATGTATTCCCAACTATATTGAACAGAAAGCTCAACGAGACAATTATATCACCCTTGTTCAAAGGATTCTGGTCGAGAATATTCCCTGTCTTGCTTTTGCCAAAGATGTTGTCCAAAAACACATCCCTCATAAGTACAGTAAAGAGATGGCAAAGTCAACAAATTCAGTAAGTATTTTTCTATCAACCTATTAAGCTGCAAGACTCTCTCCTTGTTGAGTAAAATCGTCTGATGTTAGGCAATATTAATATATGTTAATTAATATGTCTCTCACTATGTAGCAAATACTGTTCAATATATTGCATTATATTAGCCCTATTCACATTAGAGACAGACAAATCGTCTCTCAAAAATCGTCTTCACAGACGGACAAGTTCAGACGACTTGTTTGTCTAACATTTTGTCCGACACGTTTTCACATCTGATGATTGGTACGACTAAAAGACGATTATGAGACGCTTTGTTTGTCTAAACGACGTGTCTGTCTTCTAATGTGAAAACGGCTAATGTATATAACAAAAAAAGGTTATAATTGCATGCTTTAATTTACTGACATTTTAATTTTTAGACTTTCAAGGGAGTAACATTTGAGAGTGAGAATCATGCTGATGGAATTCAGAAGATTTTGAAGGAGCTCCACCAATATGTCCCTTACGCTGGAGAAGGAGATGAACGAAAGTATTGTAGCCAAGGAATTGTCTGTGATCAACTGACAGTTGAACAAGTTGTGAATGCCCACATGACTCTTAGCAACGGCTTCACCCCTGAAGAGAGAATGGATGGTTTGCATTGTGGGATTGCCGATTGGCATGCTGGAAACAAAGCCCTGAATGTAAGTATATAATAGCATACAAATAATATGGATGTGCATGGAATTATGATTAGTGTCAATTATGTACTGATAATTCGAAAATTTCAACATGGCCTCCCCCCCTCCCCTGGGAATTTAAACTTTTTGAAATTTGACTTATCAAATTCTCCACCCCCTATGCAACAAATGTTTTCACATGCCCCACTGCAACAAAAAATTAAGCGTTCAAATGCCCTACCTTCATAATATTATGAAAATTATGAAACAGTAAATACAAAAAGTACAATACCATAAACCTCCGACTATAAGCCCCCCAACCCTCATACTATGCATCTAACAATGGACAGACAACAGCAGAATATATCATCTGTTTGCTTTATATCAATGTTAAGCCATGGGCATACTAGGAAACGTTATGGAAACATTTGTGATTCTCAATGTTCCCTTGAATGTTTCCCTGTTTGCCGACCTGTGGAAACATTGTTGCGAGTCAAAACAAAATTTTCTTCCCGAGAAGCAAAAATGTTTTCAAATTCAGAAACATGTGATGTTTCCATATGTTTCTCACTAATGTTTCCTAGTGTTAGCCCAATCTTGGAAACATGGTGAAACATTGGCAAGAAACAATGTTTCCGCGACATTGTTTTCTAGTTTGCCCAGGTCTTCATTGTTAAAAGACTGAAAATAACAAATTATTATAACTGAATCTATAAAAATATTCTTTTAGGATTACTGTATTCTAATGTCTACAAATTTTTCCTAACAGGTGCTATTTTCCCATTTGTACAACCCAGTGTCCGCAGCTGATAAATGCACCATGTTTAGTGATAGAAACCTTATCAATCGTCGCTCAGTTAAGGATGTAGATTCAGCGGTTAATGCCAACCGCCGTTTCTTTACCCTGGAAATCCAGTCACATGTTGTTGCTGCTGGCATGATTGAATTAGGAATGGAAAGCATAGAAGAAGAGCCAGATACTTTGAACAATGTAGAAACATGGAATAACAAAGATAAGAAAGAGTATTTGACAAAGTTATCCACTTCCATTGTTGATAAGTACATCCTTGATAAAGTAAAGCACAAGAAAATTGCTAAAGCAGTCAAACAGTTGGAAGAGAGAGAGCTTCGGGATTCAAAGGATAGAACACTTGACGGTCGGTACAAGTATCGTTTTCCAGGTTGCAAGAAAACTTTCCAATCTGATGGAAAGTGGAGACAAAGTCACGAACAGTCTCATAGTCCACCTGTCAGTATACAAGAGCAACCACTTCTCACTGAAATCCATGATGATGTCGTTCAAGATGACATGTATAATTATCAGAAAGCTCTCCTCAATTATGGTATGGTCATCCTAAATTTCTTTGATGCAATTTCAGAAGGTGATGGTACTAGAATTATTAGAAATTGGAAATTTCTTTTATTGTATCTGCATCATGACAAAGGTAGCTATAAGTATGCTTTGGAAGGCCTTTATCTGCTCTTCCAGATAAATGCGCTTTTGAGTCCGAAAGCTGCCCATCAACTTACTTGGAACAGATTTTCCAAACGCAAGAATACAATGGGTGGCAACATTCCTCTAGATCTTGCCCTAGAATTTATCAACAGAGTTTTCAAGGACGTTGTGAAAAAGCTAGGTCCCAATGCCAGCAAAAAGTCTATCGCCCGAATCTCCCATGCATTGGGGATAACAAAGCAACTCACAGACAATTTTGATGAATCAATGTTGTTGTATAAAAGATCAGGGAAGCATGTTCGCAAGTTGGAAAAGGCTGACATGGAAAAGAAAATCAGTGAACTTTTATCACAGAATGCGTTGACCATAACACCTGGTAGAAGTTATGGTTGCTTCTCGAAAGTTGAGCCAACTTTATTATCTGGCTTTAACTTGCAAAAATACTTTAGGGAAAGTACATTTATTATGCCGGGGGGGGGGGATGAAGATGTTAAGGGCGGGGGCTCCGAAATATTTTCTGGCATTAAAGGGGGGCTCTGAAAGTTCTTGATATACTGAAGGGGGGGGGGGCTCTAAACTTTTCAAAGGTTTGACCCCAGGAAATTAAAGTTAAAATATTTACATTTTCAGGTAAAATTTGCATAATAAGTAATTATTTTTGTGAAATGATAACCATCAGTGGCGTAACTACTATGGGCTCAGACTGGGAGAACCCGGGGCCCCCCAACCCCAATGGGCCAAATGGGGGCCCCCCAGGCTCAGGCTGTAGAGCAAATACATTGGCCAGAGCCTCTGATATGTTACAATGTCGTTTTCTGACCATCAGAATTCTGTAAAATCTCTCCCCAAAGTCCGAGAAATGGCATTTCAGAGAGTCTAGATTAAAAAATTTTCCGGAAAACTCGTGCATATACGGCGCTCAACTCGTGCATTCAGCATTTCTACTATGGGGGGAGGGCCTTCGAAAATTTTGAACCGGGGGCCCCCTGATATAACGTTACGCCACTGATAACCATTTTTGTAAAATACAGTCAATTTACATGCAATTTGTTTGCGAAATTTGCTTTAGAAAACGCCAGAAATTCAGTCCTAGAGCTTCAAAAATGTATAAATTTTCTGGGGGAGGACACCCAGACCCCCTTTTCTCCCAAAACTTAGTATGAGAGTTGAGAGTGCCAATCAATCACAAAAAGCTTTATTATAATTATTACACGTATAATCCTCTGACATCCCCCCCCCCAAACGTCAGATGCTTTGCTACGTCCCTGATGGTTGTATTCGAAACCGATTTCAGTTTTAAGATATTCTTAGTCTGCTCTTCTAAATGGATACACGAAATCACCTATAGCCTATTTAAATTTTTTGGCGCCAGGTTTGTGAAGTAATTTACGTGCCAAAAAGTAGCAGTTCCAAAAACAAAAAAGCATATATGATTTGCAAGAATGATATGTTCTATGTTTATGGGATATTTCGTACAAACGGGATGGAAATTGAAGAAATTGAAGCATACTGGCACTTTTGCAGGCATACAAAGACATTTGCGACAGATGCCAGGAGATACGTTGGGTGGGGGCGACATACTGTAAGGTTCCAGCACATTACCCTGATCCAGGAAATCCTGGCCACTACATGAACGTGTTCTAGACTCCAAATACGCTGAATGATGGACAGCAACAACCTGTTGATAATTTCACCCCTAGAGCCAATTTAAAATGTTTTAAAGACGGTGCCATTTCATCTGGCGCTAGTGAGGTGAAAGAAGCAGCAGATCGGTAGTTTTGTTGAGGAGAAGCACATGCTTGAGTATATCAGACATCTTGAGGAACTGCAAATTGTATCTATGATAAGAGAGAATTCCGGATTGTACTCCTTCGATTCCGAATTCTAGAGGGGGGCATTGAAAATTTAAAAAACTTGGAGGGGGGGGGGGCATTGAAATTTACCGATAACCTCAACAGGGGCCCTGTAAAAATATGAGCTCATTTCAAGACATCTTCATCCCCCTTCCTCGGTGTAATAAATGTACTTTCCCTTATTGTTTGTCTCGCTGGCGAGTCTCAGTAAGTTTTACAAAGGACATAGTTGAGACTACTGCGTACTATTTAAAACATGAGCAGCAGTGTTTTTATATCAGATATAAAGATACGAGGCGAAGCCAAGTATCTCAGTTGAAGTTTAAGTCTGATAAACACGCAACTGCGGATGTTTTAAATTGCTTCAAAAACGATCGATCTAGTAAGTTCATCGGCGAAGTAATTTTCAAAAAATAGTACGTTGTGTAAGTCGAGAAAATCAAAGTTAAAGTTTATGTAAATCGAGGGTAAAATCTCTATCACATATAAAGATACGACACTTATAATTTTTCTTTGTGTTATCCTCATGAATTATTTATTAATGAGTTTTTGAAGTACTATATTTAAAACACGCTGAGCAGGAGTGTTTTATCATACATAAAACATCTGATAAAGCACGAACTGCAAGCATTTTAAATGGCTTAAAAAACAACCCATCTAAAGAGTTCATTGCCATATTGGCGAAGTAATTTTAAGAATCAACAATGTCTAAGCCAAGAAAATCAAAGCTAAAGTTTATGCAAACAAACATGATTTTTATCACATATAAAACCATCGACACGGCAGTGATTTCCTTTGTCTTTTCCTCATGAATTGAGTTTTTTATATAATGTACTGACTGAACTGGCATTATTTCCTCATCGGTTGACCCGGCACCAGCAAAAGCTGTATATTCACGATAATGCCTGGTAAAATCCATCTACATATAACAACAGATGTTTTATTTATTGGCAGATTAAAGAAGTTGCACCAAAAGCGTCTAGCTCTAACGCTACTCAGACATTCTGGACCAAAGATATAAAGGTTATAATATTCTTCATTCACAAATATCTTGATGTTGTTTGAATGTTTACTCGTATCCCCACCCCTCCTGAACATTGTTGTCAGAAATATTTCCTAACAAATCCTCGTTATACAAGGTTAGTCAAGGTTAGTCAAGGTTAGTAACCGATGATGATAGAGAAACATAAACTTCGCAATATGAAAGGTGTTAACTTTAAAAATGTCTAAAACTTTCAATTGTTCGAATAACGGGGCAGAATGAGCGCGGTATTCTGAATTTGTCATAACTCGTACTGCTCGTTTTTGAAGTAGTCAGATCCGATTAATTCAAACTAGTTACATAAGTCGAGGACCAAACTATGTTACAATAGCTAATATAAGAATAAATTAAGGTATAATATAATGAAAGTTTTGTCCTAGTAGACAAGACAAAACGTGATCTAGAGATAATTCCAATAGACTTAGAAATTTTGTTGCATACATGATCAATGTGATGTTTCCAGGAAATATTTTCATTGATAAAAATACCTAAAAATTTAACAACGTTAACTCTCTTAAGCGGCTTTGTATCAAATAAAATTGGCAAGTTCATCGAGATTGATTTTTGTTTTGGTCGGAAAATAATGTAGTTTGTTTTACTAATATTGACAGAAAGTTTGTTGGTTTTCATCCAAATATTTATTTTTTTTAGTTCATCATTCATCGTAGAAATTAAATAACCTAGGTCCGTGTGGCTTAAGAAAATGCTGGTATCATCTGCAAAAGGCAAACACTCTGCCAACTCCGTAGCATTAGGGAGATCATTTATAGAAAGTAGGAAAATAAGGGGCCTAATATTGAACCCTGAGGAACCCCGCACTTAATAATCCGTTCGACGGAACGGGTCTCATTGAACTGGACAAATTGTTTCCTATTAGAAAAATAGCTTTTGATCCATTGCAATGCAATACCACGGATACCATACCAATACCACGGATACCAGCTTCCAAGTCTCTTTTAAATTATTTTTTGCTGACTCAAATCGTTCGTCATAGTAATTACGTTTGGAAATTCCGATAAGATGATTTAGCTTATTTATATAAATCTTGTACTGAGATTCTCGTACAGGATTTGTCGAATTAAGTAGTTTTCTATATAGTTTTTTCCTTCGACAACTAAAGTTTATAAGTTTTTGCCGGTGAGACAGAATAACCAGAGGACCCGGAAAAGCCAGATAAGCACAGGAGAGAATGAGTCAGAGAATCAATCAAACTCGCACGAGTTTTCAAGTATGCCGCCATATTAAAACATTTTTTTCTTGTAGGTAGCAAGAGAGGCTTACGAAACGGTCAAAGGTGATCAGGCAACCAACTTTCTTAAAGAGTGGAAAGTGAGTGTAGTTATACTAGTAAAAATATAACATGCATGTCAAAGGTACATGTAAAAATATAACATGTCAAAGGTCCACCCTTTAACACAACATCCTTGCCTATAGAAAGACCAAAATATTAATCTTTTTTACCATCTTTTTTTAGAAAGTTCAAGAGCGTTCAAAAGCAGGCTCACGAGATTCCCTTCAAGAGAATGAAGAGTTTTTATATATAATCGAGGTAAAACAAGCCGTTGCAAACAGCTGACAGTTTTAGTGTTTTCAAAATTTCAACTGAGAACCTTTTGACGTTCTGAATTGAATTTATTCTGAACTCAATCGAAGTGATTTGTGATGAAATACAAGATTATTATATTTCCCTGTAGACGTAAAAAATGCTTAACTTTTATCCATATATATAGGAAGTCGAAAGATCGGAGGAATTTGAATCAGTGATCAGGCGAGCCCCGAGAGGAGCACAGAACTCACATGTTAGTTGATCTTAGTTTGTCTTTATATTTATGCGAGATAGCTGTATCAGTTCTAAACACTTCTTCCTGGAGGTCTAGTTATTACCATCCCTACTTGATGCAATGTTGCTCCAAGAGGAAACCTGAACAAAAGCTGCGGTGTTTGATAAGGTCTGATAAAGTAGATCGTTATCTACCTCATACCCAGGCTATTTGCTCTCGTGCTCTGGTGCCACGGCCACCTGGGTACGAGGTTATTACCCCTGACAAGAGTCATAAACAAGTGAGGTGATCTACATAACTGTGTAATGAATAGCCTGCGAACAGGCTCACTGGGAGAAAGGTGAGCCTGCACGGAACCATGCGTTTTATTCATTCCACCCCTTTTCGCATCTGCTAAACGCGAACCAATCAGCGTCGACTGCGATAAATAAACTGTCAACTGTCAAATTGACGCAAGGCGTGTACATTGTGCAACATGAACAATAATACAAAACATTAGCCGCACAATATATTACTCGGAAAGGCATAGAATTCAAATATTAAATAGATATCAATACACATACAAATATAAAGCCGAATAAAATACTACCGTTGGCTTTGAATGTACAGTAATACTTGTACTATGTGCGACTGAAAGAACAATGTTCTGAATATTTTGAAGCTATTACTAAAATACGGTCAGATAGATTGGGATTTGGAATACCGAATACGTTTAAAATTTTACTAACTGTGGTCTAAATACATGATAAATGAGCATGTATTTATTAATTTCTTCGAAATCACGAGTGTGCCAATAGTGGAAGCCGTATCGACGACGAAATTGTCAGCAGTTAATATACAGTAAACAGTACGTTTAATGTACGATATATATTTATCTAAATGACATGCCAGCGAGGATCGACAATATAATTATTCGTACATATTTGGGTATCTTTTGTATGCCTTCGCTTGCTGACTTGCTCACTAATGAGAATAATCCGTGAAGCCACGACGACCTCAAAATGTACTATATACTATGGTCTGATGTCAATCCGAAGACGAAGTTCAGAATACTGTTATAGTTTCGTATATTGGATTTAAGCGATAGATTCAAGTCATTTATGATAGACTTTTTTGCTGTGATGCTTTGCTATTGCTTTTGGTTTCCATTTCTAGTTTTATTTGTTCGATAGTCCCATAATATATAATATTAAAATGAATAAAGTTCAAATTCTTCAAAATGCTGTTGTTGACATTTGCTATTTTTAGTAATTTTGTCAACGAGTGTAAGCCAATCAGAAGCCTGCGTTTCTATACGAACGCCACTACCAAGAAAACCTATCATCCGTGCAGGCCCTCTATTCTTCGCGCCGCCCGCAACCCAGGGCCTGTTCGCAGGCTAACAGAAAGAAGAACACGCTAGTCCCATCAACTCTAGGCTGGTTTCCATGGGGGGCGTGTTTAGATCTTGAAAATCATTAAAAGGAAAATTTAAACTAAATATTAGTACACACATACTGTACACGTTACCATATACAAATAATTAGGAAGCATGTCGCTGTCCAACAATTGATTTAAACGAATGAGGCGACTCGGCCAATTTTGCCTCGTTTGGGAGTTGATTCCAGAGCATAGCGCTGCTATATTTAAAACTTTTTTTAAGAAATTCTCGTTTCGGTTTAGGAATTGTTAGATCAGTTGCTGTGTTTCGAAGATGATAATTAGTTTGATCTATTTCTCTTCTCACGAATGACCCCCGGAGACCTGGCGCAGTGTGGTCGTTAAGTATTTTATACATTAATACTGACTTGGCACCAGACCGCATATTTTCAAGTGTATCCCAAGAAAGCATGTTGAGAAGATCAGCTGAGCGAGTATCATAATTAGCACCCGTTAGGACTCTTGCTGCACGAGACTGAAATCTTTGCAACTTGTCTCTTAGCAACTTACCACAAGTATCCCAAAGGGGGTAACAATAATCAAAGTAGGGCTGCACAAGACTTTTATTAATCGATTCTAAGGTATGCATCATTTCAATGTGACTATCCCAATTAAGGGTTTCATCTAGTTTTACTCCTAGGCACATTTGTGTAGCAATTCGTGATATGGGTTTTGCATTAGCCACAACGGGTTCCTCACACATTATATTATTAAGATTATACGGGGAGCCAATAAACATCATTTTACATTTTGATGGATGCATCTGCAGCCTATTTTCTTTAAGCCAGTTACAGACATGGGCAAGATCTGAATTTAAATTTACAACAAGTTCGTTTGCATCGTAGGAAGATGAAAAGATTTGAGTATCATCCGCGTACATGCATGGATTAGTTGATTTCAAACAATCTGGCAAATCATTAATATATAATAGGAACAGCAGTGGTCCCAGTATAGATCCCTGGGGCACTCCACAGGTGATAATTCTATTACTAGATAATTCTCCATTAACATTACATTGCTGTTCTCTATTTGTTAAATATGACTCAAACCATTTTAATTCTACGCCAAAAATTCCAAATTGCTCATTCATTTTATTTAACAAAATGCGATGGTTTATAGAGTCAAATGCCTTTTTTATATCTATGAACACAACCCCATTTAACTTTCCATTGTCCATATTTTCTAGCCACTCATCACACATTTGGATGAGGGCAGTTACAGTTGAATGCTTTGGACGAAATCCAGATTGAAACTTTGACAGAAGAGAGCTTTCAGACAAGTATCTATATACTTGACGGAAAACTTCCTTCTCAAAGGCTTTACTCACCACCGGTAAAATTGAAATAGGCCGATAGTTCTCACATTGTCTTTTATCCCCGGATTTAAATATTGGCGTAACACGAGCACGCTTCCATTCATCTATATATACGCCCGTTGCAAGCGACAGATTGAAGATGAATGTCAACGAGGGTGCAATTATGTTTGCAGATAATTTTAGAATTTTAGCAGGAATTTTATCAAGACCTGTTGCTTTACATGCTTTTAGGCCTCTTAGGGTCGAGGCAACACTATCAACGGATATTGGAGATACTTTAAAAAAAGTATCTGAGGATTGATTAATATTATAGTTTATGGGCTGATTATCAACATTACTACAGGACTCGTCTACATATTCTGCTGCTAGCCTCGACCCAATACTAATGAAATAGTCATTAAATGCATCTGCAATAGATTTAGGATCCGAAACTAACGTGCTGTCAACCAGCAGCTCATTCACATTGTTGGATTTGTTATTCTTTCCCAATAATGAATTAATTAATTTCCAAGTCTTTTTAGGGTCATTCATTACAGAGCAATCAGTGATTTTATCATGAAAATATTTTGATTTTACATTTCGCATTTCAACATTCACTTTATTCCGCAGAAATTGAAAACTTTCCCAATGGGGCTGTGAGGAATGTTTTATTGCATATTTTTTATGATTTTTTCCGTCATCTCTGTACAATCCGATGTTATTGCTGTCAAATCTCGCCCTTAGTTTGTTTAATGCATACAAACCAACAAGTTCGCAAATTTCCGCACCGTCAAAGCTCCCCATGGTGACGTCAAATGTTGTAGGACTGGGCGTGTTTGATGATTGAAACATGTTCGTCAGTAATATTAATAATAGTTTTGGCCCAAGCGATGGCTTTATCGAGGAGTTCTTCACTGATGGAAGGGTAGTAGTCGACGATATCAAAAGAAACAAAGTTATACTGAGATTTCTGTTCGATGTCTTTGAACCATTTGATTACAGATTGGGAATTTCTCCATTGGTTTGCGTTGGTGGTTGATCTGATTTCTTAATTGATGGAATCCAGTATAACTTTGCTTACTTTACCAAGTTCGCTTTTGGCTGGGTTGATTAATCGGCATTTGGGGTTCGATTCGAAGTTGTCTTTATGGTCTTTCAACGTAAATTGCAACTATTTCCACCGGCTTTGATTGAACTTGCTCGGGATAAGATGGACCACTTGATATTAAATTGTTTTCTATTTAGTTTTAGTTTCCAAACATGCTTAGAAAGTTCAGTTTCATTCTCATATTTAATGTCATTGAATATATATATATATATATATATATATATACACTGCGAACGACGATATTAGTTATGTATGAGATTTGGGCATTTTAATTATGTCTTCGAATTAGGAGGGTAAAACATAAATACACGTGAAACGTTTTTTGTTTGTGGTGCAAACATCGTTGCAACGTTTACATTTCATATTAGTCACGTGATTACAAAATCCAGGGGTTCTTCTACAACAGAGGTGGTCCACGGTATTAGTTTCATAAATCATCCGGCAATATGGGACGTAGGAAAGACTTAATAGAAGCCGAGAAAGTCACTATTATAAAAGAAATTGCAAAGGACAAAACAACCAAAATAAATTACTGAAAGAATAAATGGCCATGTGGTCACAGTGATCAGTCACTTCTGATCGCGGCGTTAGAAAAATATGCCCGGGCAAGCTTGAAAAATATACCCGGCCACGGTGGGAATCGAACTTACGACCTTTGGAATACTAGCCCAATGCTCTGCCAACTGAGCTACACTACACCAACACAACAAATATCATGATTATTAGATTACACTGATATCGAAGGAACTAGACTCAGTTCCGAAATATCGCATCTCGAACCGACCTGACCGCGTAGCTCAGTTGGCAGAGCATTGGGCTAGTATTCCAAAGGTTGTAGGTTCGATTCCCAACGTGGCCGTGCATATTTTTCAAGCTTGCCCGGTGTGGATACACACTCGGAGTAACATCACGTAACAAGCAACCGTATACGTATGTTCTTGAAAAAAAAAGATTTCAGTAAACATAGTTAGACTGCGAAGGTCTGCAGGACAAGCTATTTTACACACACAATTCCAGAGAGGGACAATACGGTTAAAGAAAGTCGACTGGAAAGCACTTCAATTTTACACGACGGAACTTTAAGTACGAGAGGAGGATTTTCACAGTTACGAGTGTGATTATGACTAACAAACGACACAAAATCGTAAAGTCCGTTTAGCAATTTTAAGAAATATGTCAAATCCTTGATCTCACTGTCGTATGTCAACGGGAGAAGATTTAACATCTGCAATCGATCCCTATACATATGTGAGGTTCCGCGTTTGGTATAACCTGAAGTTCAGGCCCTAATCACAGATCAATAGGGCCTGACACAAAACCTATCTAAACTGTGGGATTCCCGTCCATCTGGTGGACGGGAAATCTGATTGGTTGATCAGCATCATGAAGGATTTTGATTGGTTGCAAGTTCGCATAAACGACAGTTTTAAAAATAGCTCGGTCAAGGGTTCAAGGCGACAATTAATATAAAGGTCAAACGCACGTAACAAATTCCATTATCGACTTCTTCGAATTTATTTTCTTTTATATGCTTTATGGCATAAAATAAATCAAACAAATAGTATTTTGAACGGGCTTCATCAAAATCTTTGAGGAATTTTGGACACACGACGCTGAAAGAACAGCCAAACTAGTCATGTATTAGAAACCTTGTTGTTGACAGCCAAGATGTTCTGTCAAATGGTTTCGCCGGCAAAAGTCTTATTTTTAATATCAGGTCCTACCGGTGTTGTTTTCTGAGCTACATCGCCTTCTTCGTGGTACGATTGAGAATTTCATTGTTGCTGTTGTTAGCCCGTTAGTCGTTAGAGTATATCAGCGTCCAGCAAGTTGAGACCTTGAGAAAGTTTGGCAGTCAAGCCGTGCACAGAACTGACTAATTTTAATTAAATTAGTTCGGTTAAATAGAGAAACTGACTCTTAATTATATAAAAGTACCTTGAATTTTTAAGTTTAATTAAAAAGCAAAATGCACACTCTGCGGATATGTTAATGAGAATATAATTTTTTTGTGCAACGAAATCTGGGTTGGGATAAAACGCGGACCCGGAATGCGGATTCCGGAAGCGGATTCCGCATTTGAGGATAAAACGGGGATTCCGCAAATGAGGATAAAACGCGGAATTGCGTTATAAGAACGAGAAGCAGAATAGCGTATAAAAAACATAAATTATCACTTTTTAAGGTCACAACCACTAAAAAACGATTGGCTAAAGTTACCTAGTTACCCTTGGCCTAACTGTTGAAGTCTTGCATGCATGCATTAGTGTGTGTGTGGGGGGGGACTGTGACTTTTTTGGACTATATCTCAAAATTATGGAGGGAGGTGGAAAATCGTATTTATCAAGAGCGTCTTAATTTTTATCTGAGTTTCTTTGTTTAAACAATGCTAGTAATATTCGGGCTTTGATGGCGCAGGTGTCAGAGCAAGCGCCTTTCATACAACTCTGAGATCGTGGGTTCGATTCTTGTTACGGACTCATATGAAAAGAGTCTGTCAACACTCTGCAGCAAGTCGTGGGTTTTCTTTCGGGTATTCCAGTTTCATCTCACAGGGCAAGTTGGCAGGGAGGGTTAGTCTGAACCTAATCATGCACTTAAAGCTTCTAAAGAACTAATCATATTTAATTAATTCATTAATAATCAACCTAATGATTGTATCATGTTTCTTCATATAAATACTGTTTTTGATGTATAAGTCAGTATAACCTATAGCTAGTTTATCCTGGTGATGACTGAAATATAGTCGAAACGTAGATAAATATATATGTTATCGATTTTTGGAGTTTCACTTGTTTTGTATTTTTTATAGTTAGAAGAGTAATATCTCAATTGTTGTAAAGATGAATAGTCTAGGCTAAGTAAATAAAAAATCTGAAATCGTCATGCCTGTATGTAATGCGAAACATGCACAACACATCCGACAGGAAATCAGAAATATGACAGTTTTCCGCCGCCGAATGAAATTTCGCCATAAATCATCACAATTTTCATGGATTTATACTAAAATTCCACGAAAAGAAAAAGCGTACGAGTGCAAAGAACTATTGTGCGCGTAATGCACAATGCATGAAGAGAAAGACAAACTGAATTTATAAGTGGCTGTTGCCGGCAGCGCAGGAGCTAAACTACGGATATAAACTCGACTGATAGCGCATGTATTTACTATACACAAAAAATAAACATTTTAGTTCTTGAATTTTCAGCGAACGAATCGTGCAAATTAAAATTAATAAATGTTTAATTTGCACACTTCTTAGACCTTTTGAACCGGTTTCGTATAATTATATTTTGGTGTTTAAAATATACTGCAGAATATTCAGTAGGAAACATACGAAGACTGACCGTATTTCTTTATTTTTAAAAACAATTGTACTGAATATTGGATTTTTAACATATTTGGGTTACATGTAATTCGTTTGAATGCAGTTAAAATTAATAAAGGGAAAATTTTGTCAGGTAAATTTTTCAGTGGTTGTGGCATTAAGTTAATGTTATGATCAAACTTAATTTACCCTATTATGCTTCTCGTCCTTATTATGCTTCAATTCCGCGTTTTATTCTCATTTGCGGAATCCGCTTACGGAATCCGCGTTTTATCCTCATTTGCGGAATCCGCTTACGGAATCCGCTTCCGCAATCCGCTTCCGCAATTCGCATTCCGGTTCCGCGTTTTATCCCAACCCAACGAAATCTACAAAACTTGTCATCATATTGCATGTTGTGTCTAAAAATAACATGTGGGCGTCCCACGGTCTAGACAGGTTTTGTGTCAGGCCCTATTTCATGCAAACAAGACGCCTGCTCAGGCGTTCACACTGACCTGAAAATGACGACATACGTGCTGAGTACAAGGTTGTGTTTGAATACGGCACAGAGTAGAAATATTTCATAGCCAGAAATTCCGGACATTGAAACCCAGGACATCGATTGCCTAGAACAACACCAATATCCCTTTCGATCCCCTAATGTTCATGGCTTGCGAAGTGCGAACACAAACTAACATGGCGTCCGTCAGAAGGGTTGGCAGAAATGTCGACTATGCAAGCTTGAATGATCTGTCGTCTGTTGTTTTGTACGACACTGGGAGAAAGCCGAAAGGAAAGTTTTTTCCGGTTGAAAGGATTATTGAGCGACGAAAAACAGGAAATGTGAGTATTTCAAGTACATTTTTTAAAGTTTGTTTCGCATTGCAGCCATCGATCACTACGATCAGTGCCATGCAGGTACTGTCTTGAGTGTTAAAATGACAACTTCAGCTCTCTTATTTTTATTTTATCAGAGTTGGGAGTATTTGATTAAATGGGCTGGGTGGCCATTCCATGAATGTAGCTGGGAACCTGCTGATCATTTGACTCCAGCGCTTCTGAGGTAAATGTTTTCGTCTTTTTATTTCATTATTTGTGTTTAACTCTTGTATTGGCTTATTGCATTTTTAAACCACACACCCCCTATGGAGGATACTGGAATTTCCAGGCCCCCCTTCCTAAAATTCAACAAAAAAAGACGGAATTTCCAAGGGAGAGTCTAAATTTTAAAGAAAATCTGTGGAAATTCCACGGGGTAGGTTAAAAAAACAACATGGAAATTCCAAGGGATGGTTACCTATTAAACAAAAAATGTGGAAATTCCAGAGACTAGGTCAAAACCATTGGTGGAATTTCCAAGGGATGAGTAGAAATTTGTTAAAAATCTGTGGAAATTCCATGGGGTAGGCTGGAAATTTGTAAAAAATCGCGGAATTCCAGGGGGTAGGGCAGAAATTCATCAACATCTGCGGAATTCCAGGGGAGGGGGTCCAAAAAATGGATGTCCTCCATAGGGGGTGTGTGGATTAAAAATGCAATAAGCCATTTTGATTGAGTCTCGTATATAGTATAGTAATTTTGTTTACTTGTTTATTCAGGAGCTATGAAAACCCGCAAATTTCAGATCAGCGAATTGAACAAGGCAGTCGAAATTTCTATGAAGCAATAGCAAGGACCCTTAAGGGAAAATCTAGTGCTCCAGTGGATGTATATATTGACCTTGATGTACAAAGATGGTTGTGGAAAGACAAGGGAACTCCATCACAACACAAAGGGTATACATTGTATGAAAATGCAGGTTTCTGTCGCCTATCTTTGCCCAGAACGTGGTGGTATTATCTGGATAAAAATGGTGAAGGCAGAGCCATTAGCTTTCCCATAAAAATGAAACCCATTTTATCGTGGACACCAAAACAATTCTGTTTTGAAAATGGAGACCTCAAACAGAAGGCAAGACTGCCAATTGAAAAACTTAGAGTTCATATTGCAAGACAAGCATGTTGTGCTGAGACACTTTAAAGGATGCATTGATGGCAAAAGAAAAACTCTTGTATTGCTGTTAATGTTATACATGATGGTGCAACACACTTGTGCTGTGGCCATGGACATGTTGAGGTGGTTACCTGAAGCATTCAGCATGCTATTTGAACAATTACAGTATGTTCAATAGCAGATAAGTATGCAACCTACATTTACAACAGGTTTTATATTTTGCATAGTGTTGACATACATATAGATATTAGTCAAGATTTTCTCAAGTGGCTCTTTAGTAGGAACATATAATGCTTCATTCATGGTTGAGAAATGCATAATTGTACCGGGTGTCCCAAAAAAAAACTATACCCCGTTTGATTTCATATAGCGTAAAACCTATAAACGCTATCACTCCTAAATAAAAAGCATTGTATTCAGAAAGGATTAACTTAGATTTTGATATATACGATATATTTAGTGATATTATTAACGTTTTAACGTTAAACTACCACTTCTGCAAAGTTGAAAAATTAGCATAAAACAGCATATCAAATTCAACGAAACTTTCTTTTAATGTGAACTCGTTTTATTCGTTTCATTCATAAGAATCAACTTTAATTGAAATTTATATGTTTTAAAAGTGAATATCAAAGGAATGACAGAGAATTGAAGATAAAATCGCTGAAATTAAAGATTCCATCTTAAGCGGTAATTGCTTTCAGCTCAGTCTGATGCAGTGATTTTTATCGTTTTGACAACAATTTTGAAAACTCCTCGTAAATTCAAACACTTGTATTTTGGTCAATATGGCATGGAAAATTTAATGTTATATATCAAAATCTAAGTTAGCCCTTCCTGCGTGTAGTGGAGTTCATCTCAGCTCGATAGCTTTTATAGTTTTTACACTATATGAAATCAAACAGGGTATAGTTTTTTTTGGGACACCCGGTATTTAACGTTTTTTCAACTAGTATTGATTCAACTACATTTGTAATAATGAAAAGCAGGGGGACCGGAAGATCGATAATTGGAGGGGGACAGATATTCATATATTCTTGTTAACAGACTGTAAAAATAATTGATTTTAAAATCTTAATCTCAATTTAAAAAGAAATCAATTGGGCATAACACAAATATGTAAAAACGTTCAGATCGGAAGAATTATCGATCTTCCGGTGCGCCAGATGACAAGGTAGCTACAATGTATGAATACTAACTTCAACTTAAACTAATGGCATTTTTTAAAAGTTCCTTCAGTTTAACAAGGCTCCTCAGTTTTGTTTTCACATTGAGTTCCTTTAGTTTATCTTTTATCTCACATAGGCTCATTTTATCGATGTCATCTTGAGTGAGTGGTGGTATTCCATCATCCTCCCGTGGATCGACACACAAACGGGGCCTTTTCCTTCTTTGTTCGAATATTTCTTTCGTCCAATACTCGGTGTTTTTCTTCGTGTATTGGTGTGGCACTCTTTCAAAATTCTGGAGGTTGTCAATCCTTTTCAGGGCCTGTACCGCTTCTTTGCACGCATCGTGTCTGTTACTTTTGTTGTGATAAATTGATCGTACTACATCATTTATTTTTTCAATTCCCTGTCCAGTGAATTGCTTAATAGATTTATCATTTTTAAGAAATTTGGGTATGTGATAAACCAAGATATGCATATATGGCGTTATTCTGGCTTTCTCATACCCACATACCTTTCCTCCGAGGGAAAGAAATAGCTCGATCCAATCCTTTGCCTATTAAATATGTATATATTTATAAGAAATATATTTATTTATAGGAGTATGAAACACACAAATAATTTTATATGATATATGACAGTTATTCTGGCTTTCTCATACCCACATACCTTTCCTCCGAGGGAAAGAAATAGCTCGATCCAATCCTTTGCCTATTAAATATGTATATATTTATAAGAAATATATTTATTTATAGGAGTATGAAACACACAAATAATGTTATATGATATATGACAATATATTATACTGACGATACTGTATATTGATGCCTTAACATCAAACAAGAGGAGGTACAAAAAATAAAGACTTGATTTTTACCTTTCTAAAGAATCCATCTATTTCATCTTCTGATGGTTTCCATGAGGACAGAATTTGGTATAATTCATGAAATTTCTTCAAAAATGAAAACAAAAAAATGAAATTCAAATAGTTCTGTGTTTTCTTGCACTTTAGAAGTAATCCTAATAAAATACTGCCCATAGCATATACATACTAGTTTGACTTGTCAACCAATCAAATGTACTCTTGTTATATATACAGAATAAAATTTGAACAGTTTCAACCCTAACCACAATAACCTGAGTACATTGCAACAATGCAGCACTCTTTCTTTAGGTTGAAAATATGGGCTTTATGGAACCAGTTCAAAAAAAAACTGTTACTGAACCTGCCATATTTGAGAAATTGTTCCAGAAAAATGTTCGTCAAGAAAATTTGGAAACTGAGCTGGAAGATTAGCAAGAACCTTCTTCTTTTCGTTGCCAACCATACTGGTCCAATCATATATACCACTTGTTTTTCCATTAGCATCTTTTTTCTCCCAGACACTAAAACTAACTCCACATGCGTTGATGGCATCAACAACATTTTGGGCATGTTGATTTTTCCTGTCTGACGGGGCTCTGTTAAGGTTATCTTTCACATCACGTTCGATAGCATCATTTATGATGTTCCTCTCTAGGATATCTATAGACGTAAAAGGAAAATATTACAATTAAGCATGAGCTGCCAGGTTTAAGCATCTATTTGGCAAAATTGACCTCTTCATCATCATCAGCCACTAGATCTTATTTTGTTTTGTACATGTAAAACCATACGGGTATATATTGTAAAATCTCAAACCTGTGATTCGGAGAAGCAGATGAAGTTCATCTATTCTGACATTTGTAATTGGTATGTTCAGCAACGGCTTCCTTACACAACCAAATTTGTTGGTGGAATTTACCATATGTTCGTTGTCATGAAGGATCCTTTTGTTATCATCACTTAGGTAATAGTCTTCTGACTTTGACATATCCCATCTACATTTGACATGCAATTAAAATAATTATGATTTTTAAAGATCTGCATGTTATATATCAGCATGCATATGTTAACAACTGAACACACAGAAATGGAAGTAGAGTCTAGATGTACAGTAGTGTACCTGTCCTTCTTGTGAATTGTGCAATAAATGCACGCATAATCTGATATGGCACTGTTCATACCAAGAATAAGGAGTAGGAACTAAAAAAAAGTTAAAAATATAATGAAATCAGTCAACAGGGATTCAGATGATCAGCTTGCCCAATTTACTGCATTGTGATTTAAATACCTGTCCTTCTTGTGAATTGTGCAATAAATGCACGCATAATCTGATATGGCACTGTTCATACCAAGAATAAGGAGTAGGAACTAAAAAAAAGTTAAAAATATAATGAAATCAGTCAACAGGGATTCAGATGATCAGCTTGCCCAATTTACTGCATTGTGATGCCCAGGCCTTAACAATATACTGTACACATGTACTGAAGTTCAGAAGTTGCTGATAGATTTTAAAGTGCCGGTGCCAATAGTTTTATATCCTAGCTTTTATGTACCGTACCTTGTAATCGCCAGACAGATAAAATTCCAAAGGTATCTCATGACCATCAACTTCAATTTTACCCATTTCAATGACTTTATTTATTTCTTTAAAGAGTTCTTTGAATGAGACTCTTAGTGTGTCATAATCTTCTTGGCCGCAAACAACACCCAGGATATGGTTGCCTACAAGGATCATGCATACAATATGTATATCTCAATGGGAAAAAAACTGATTCTGGTTTGCAATTGTACATGGAAAATGAGCAGTCAGTATACACATCTTGTTACATATTATACAATTAAAGTATTACCTTTCCAAGACATTACACTTTCTTCATCGGAAAGCACAGCGAAAGAAAGAACAATAAAATTTGCTATCCTTGACATTTTCGCACCATCACCAGCTATCCTAATTCTCTGTTTACCAACGTCTCCACAATCAATCTATAATAAAAATGTGAAGCCATTAATGACTAAGAGTTATAGGATGTAATAAAATGGTATTTAAATACCATCTTTTGTAATGGTTTTACCATGATAATTGACCAAAATGTATATTGACTTGTAGAAAGAATTAAAGTATGAAACTCATTAATAATGCATGAATTATTAATGAGTTTCATACTTTAATTCTTTCTACAAGTCAATATACATTTTGGTCAATTATCATGGTAAAACCATTGCAAAACATGGTATTTAAATACCATTTTATTACCAGAGATACAAATCACTCGAACTCAGCTGCTCATGCTTAATATATTATCAAAAATACACACGCCTTCTATTAAGTAGATATACCTTCGTCCTGATTTGAGATCGAAGTTCCTCTTTAAAGCTCATCTGAGCTCCTGGGTTCTTTCCTGGTGTTCGTGAAATATGACAAATGGAGTTTAATGAACTTCTGCACTGCTTGATTAGATAGCTCCGTGGGAGGCCATCAATTAACACAGACATTTCATGGTATGCTGAGTCCCCAATACAGTATGTGTCCATAATGTAAAGTATAGCCCTGATGGTATCCTTTTCCTCATCTGGTAGCTGGTCAAACGTCCTTTTACCATTACCTTCTGTGTAATCAATTTCAGTTATTTTCCCATTCACATCTTTTACCTTAACAGAATTAAGCTTAAATCCAAATGATTCTAGGAACCATAATGCTCTTTCACTCTGGGTTTTGAGTTCTCTTACAATTCGTCTCCTTTGACGTTCCCCAACTTCATTTATAGGTTGTCCTGCATTTTCCAAACCTGTGCTACAATTACTGCATGTTAAAGATTCTTCAATGTGTTTTATATATTCTGTTAATTCTTTGTTTTCTGTAAATGCTTGGTCTGCCTCTGTTTCTAGAATATTGATTTCATCTCTTGCACTCAGAAGCTCTTGTAGAAGTGTAGCACACCTGTTATCAAGTTCCCAAAGTTGGTTCTGCAGTTCTTTCTTATCCTCTTCACATTTATTTAACTGTGCTTGAAGACTGCTGACATTAAGTAACTCATTCAAAAATACTTTCACAGATCTTGTTTTTGCAAGAAAATTTACCCTTTTATATCCCCGCAATCCTTTGCTTTGATGGTACGCTATTGACGCTGTAGTCCTAATGCATTCTTCGACTCTATCAGCATCTGGCTTGACGGAAATAGGTAATTTTACTGCACTCAAAGCTAGCAGATCAAGGTATGAAACATTTTGAACTGTGTCCTTCAGTTCCCGCCATTTTAACAGTACTTTGTTAGATATTTTAAGCACAAAGTATTGTCCTGACCTTTGTTCACCAATGTAGCGTAAGCTTGACTCCCCACAAACATGAATTTGATAGCTAATTTTCAAGTTTTCCTGCCACGTAATATTATCCGACATAATTAAATTTACATGACCAAAACTATAAATATTGATGAGAAAACTATAGAGTTCTAAACCAATAGAGCTCAGAGCACTGGCTCAGAGTACAATAAAACCCACTGAACTCTAAGTATACATACAGTTCACTGTCTAAACCATTGGTTTAAACCAAGTATTGCAGGGGAAAAGTCCCGCTGAGTAGAATGATCGTCAAGTATAAACAATATGGCGGAAATAAGCTTTGAAATGATGTTTTTCGTATCGTTTGGGACAACATTGGTTGCAGAATGACTGTTTAAATACCGGATGCTGGCGTAAAATGTTATTGCGAATGCTATTTACGCACATATTTTCAGTCAAAGAAAGAAATATGAATATTTAAGGTCAAGTTTTGTCGACGATTTCTCTGGAGAATTGAATATGTATTTGATCCAAATCCGATGCCACAATTTTAGGTTCACGTTTCTATGAGGTAGGCAAGAGCTCAGAAAATTGTATTTTGTAGTATTTTCCGTTAATTTGGTACAATTTGCAGACATTCGTTCTGATTAACGAGCGCGTATTTCCGATTTGGTAAAGAATCATAAATTTTTAAGAATCTTTTTTAAATTAAAATTAATACGCTTGTACGTAACGCATTTTTTTCACATGCTATTCACATTTTTCATTTTCTATAATATTTATGAGATATTTGCGCTTGAACATGAATATCAACACAATTTCAGATAAACTTTTGAACTTATGAGCGACAAGGAGCCTGGGGCAAGATTGGTTATTGTCAAGCGCATGTCCGCGATTTCTGGCGATGTATTTTGAATTTTTCAGAATATCGGGTTTTTACTCGCACGCACGCGCCACGTTGATGCTTGGCCATATTTTATAGCCCGATCGATGCACGTGCAGACCTTGCCACTGGGAGTACTTTGACCTACATTAAACAGCGCATTGTTTTGATGTACGTTTCATGGACGGCGCTAAAAATATAAATATTCTGTAAATACCGAAATAAAAGATAAAAATCTGAAGACACAAACTTGAATATAACACTATATAAATAGTGTTTTGATGTACGTTTCATGGACGGCGCTAGAAATATAAATATTCTGTAAATACCGAAATAAAAGATAAAAATCTGAAGACACAAGCTTGAAAATAACACTATATAAACACTATTTATATAACACTATGTTATATAAACACTATGTTATATAAACACTATTTATATAACACTATATAAATAGTGTTTTGGATTCCGGTTCCAATAATACTATTACGAAAAAGATATGTCCAAAGGGGCCGAAGTTTATATGTTTATATTGTTTACATTGTTCCTTATATTATGAAATATGATACCATACCGCCTTACTTGTATTAAAATTCGCGTCGAACTAATGCTATTGTATTATAGGCAAATGAGAACCATACAATAAATGTTTTAGTCCTTGTTGGTATTTTGAACGCACGCTTTATCTTCTGTAGCTACCACAAAGCTTGTTGCGCTGATTATATTTCGCGCAGTACTAAAATTTGCGAACCCAGCGCTACACGAATTCTAGTACTGCGCGAATTTTAATACATCCATGTAAGATATATTGCCGATATTTGGCTAAAACTATCGTAAGGAATTAGGAGATTTTGTTTAATGAATTAAAACTACATTGTATAGTCAAGCTGTCAACCTTTAACTTGTCCTTTGTTTATATTCCACTATACTGTGTAAATTCGCTGGGTCCAAATTTTGGCGTTTTCGAGTCGTTTAATTTTAATACAAAAAGAAAAACATTAATTCAACACGCAAGAAAGTCCAGAGTGCGACACAAAAATGAACACAAGTACACAACGGATGTTTATCATTCTACAACGTATATTCATAGTTGTTTATTAATTTAAAGTCAATTCCTCTACATTGTAGGCATATATCCCACTACATTGTATCTTAAAAATTCGTTGGTCCAAATTTTGGGGTTTTCGAGTCGTTACACAAAGAAAAACACATTAATTCAACATGCAAGAAAGTCCAGAGTGCGACGCAACGTAAAATCCATAGGAAACCGGCACAACTCTTCGAAAATTCAACGAAACTGTGTGAAATATATTTTGATCACTCAGCCGAAAGCCGCCATTTTGAAACTGGACTGAATATGTCATACTTGGAGTTTGGAATTGTGCGCGTGCGTACAAGTCTATATATGTGCTAATAAACGAAAGTGTACCACAAGCATGGCAAGAGCCGGCTATTACGTACATAAATACGAGCTCGTTGCTATAATATATAAATCGTGGAATTGAAGAATCGATGGCGTTTTGGCTTAATCGTTGCACCCTGAGCCTGCGATGCGCTAACGCAAACTCCATTTCTCGACGAAAACAGAAAATTAGGGATTTAAGACACTTGACCTTTCAGGTCAGTGTAATTAGGGCCTGAACTTCAGGTTCCGCGTTTGGAGGATCCATCTTGTGGCGCGCCTTTGATATCTGAGTGCCCTCTAGTATACGGTGTGATGGGTAAATTAAATCTTTCGGTCACTTTTGTTGAAGGTGTATAATGAAAATGAAATATTGTATAATAAAACAGTTATTGAATTCGGTTTTTGTGATATAATCCGGAATTAAAAAGTTTTAATTTGTTATGTGCTATCTGCCTCTCGTTCGGCTCGAAATCATAAACATCTTATCCAATAACTTTATTTATTAACTGTATACACGAAGATAATATATGTATATAATTGAATACAGAAATTATAGATATATAATTAGTAAAGTAATTATAATCACAAGCTAATGAAATATGGCCATTTTTATATTAAGAGTATTTACTGTTGCGTCTTATAGCCACAGTGTTGGAATTAACATTGTAAGCAAATTTTGAAGGCTGCGAACGTCTCTTGCTCAATATATACAAGTTACAGACACTAAATCGTCAAAAGCCGAGATATTCAGTGGCGGCGCCAGGTGAGGGGGCAAAGGAAACCCCTCAAAATTATTTTTTTGCTCCCCCCCCCATTTTGCCCCCCCTCAAAAAAAATTATTAGTCACTAAGAGCGACTAAAGGCTGCACAAGCGTTCTGTCGTTATCGAAAAATGTATGGCTTATAAGTTGGCATTACTCATTAGTGAATGCGCGTATACATGAAACTGTTTTTACAGTTTCAATATTATATTAGTTTGTAAATCTCCGAATGGTAAAACTTGCTAATACTCCAATAATACGTTTCAAAAAAATACAAAAAAGCTTTAGTTTTGCAGAGTTAAATTCTCAAACGTGTAAGGCAATAATAAGATGAAAGTAGCACGAAATTATTTGAATAAACCACATCGCATATATGGGGGGCGAATGTCCTAAAGAGGGGCGATATTCCTAGGGTATTTGCCCCACTCCCCTGGGAGGCGATATTCCCAGGATATTCGCCCCCGGGGGCGATATTCCTAGGAATATCGCCACGTTTTGAGGGGGGGGGGCTAATTTTCTGGGGGGGCGATCTTTTTAAAAATTCTATCTTGCCCCCCCAAAATTTGAGTTTGCCCTCAAATGCCCCCTCAAATTTGGTAGCCTGGCGCCGCCACTGGAGATATTACATACTTACCAACGTAATCATGACACGGTGGGCATAAAAGACAGCGAATTTGGCCAAGTACATATAACTTTCTCTCGTTAGTTTGGAATATCACGAAACTCTCTCACAGGATAGAACTTAACATTCCTAAAAATCGTATGTTTTTTGTTTTTCGAATTTGTTACATTTTGGCGGGAAAATGACGTGCCAACTTTGGCGCCAAAAAATTAAACACGAGCTAAGAACATGCTAGTAACTTTTTCGAAAAGATTGTCCTATAAGGATCTCAAACTGTAAAAACATTAAAAATACAACAAGGCAGTGCGAAGATATGGCGATTCAAAGTTCTATTTTTACTGAAAAATCAGCCATTTTGTCAACCTCGTTCCCAGGCTCTTTGCTCTTGGGAAGCAAAGACCCTGGTCGGAGCTGGTCACGTGAACCCCCAGATTCTGGGGGTAAATTGAATTTGACCTCAGGGAGGGGTAGTAGAGGAGTCTGTTTGTTGCGCTTGGAAAATTGCAACTTTATGTGTTATAATTTCGGGTGATAAAAATGTAATTTGCAACAAGAGATTCTGAAACTGAACTGCTCTAAATTCGTACCGATCATGACAAGACTTCCTGCTATCCTGAATGTCATCAATAATAAGTGTTGCGTTACATTTCAAGCGAGAAGCTGGATCATATTTCACTTGCAAGGAAAACACTCCACACGCACCTGGTTTGCGAAGTTTAGCACGTATCGCCGTAGAAACATACATATCTTCTACACAGACTGATCGATCAAACGGTATTAAACGAACGATATGGTTCTTTATAGTTGAAGTGTATCCTGTCTGATATCCAAAACAAAAGATTTATTTTATAACGGGATCCTTTGATTTCCCAAACATCGCCAACATGTGTAAACAATAGTGCTATTTTGACTGTAAAAGGCTAAAGCACAGGATTAAAACCCGTTATGGACTGGCTATAAAATTCATTTCATTTACATTGCTGAAACTCAACGATCAAGAAAAATAATGTCGAAGTGTAGCTAGCTATCTGTTATCACACAAACGCCAAGACTCCTCCGTGCGTTTCCGTGCGTGCGGTACAACTTGAATTGATCTAGGACGATATATGCACCAGACACTGGTATTGTACTTTATATAAATTATTTCATATTTTGTGTATACAGTAATTTGCAACATGTATAATATTAGACCTTTCATTGACATTGTCCATTGAGGGCTTTATTGAAGAATAATCCAGCTTTTTTAGACTTGTATAATGGATTAGTGCCGCTGTGAGTTATCAATATTTAAAAATCAACTTTAATCCTTAACGTATTCTGTAAGCGACATTTTAGAAGTTTAATCTGTTTTACCAAAAAATATTGGAGGCAAACAGCCTATCTATCAATGGAAACTTTAAAAGGTTTGTTACAGTAAAACTCATTAATATAAGCGAGACTTCGTAC